CATTTGACAGGAAAATAATCATATATTTAAAAAAAAATTGAAGTAACTATTTTTTGCAAAATACGGGGACGGCCGGGAATTGAACCCGGGACCTCTCGCACCCTAAGCGAGAATCATACCCCTAGACCACCGTGCCACGTTACAGGTTAAAAAGATTTGTAATTTCAAAATAAATTTTTGTTTCCTATTTATTTAAAAAGTTTATTTACTTATTGACCAGGTGTTCAAGAAATAATCTTCAGATTTAGAGAAAGGAGAAATACTGTTTTGTATCCTATACATTATTGAAACCAAATATTTATTGTGTTGATCAGCTATGATGATGTACAACATAAAAAAAAGCTTAATAACAAAATTTAAAGAAATTTAGAATTATTCTTGAACGAATAATTTTGCAGCATATATGATATACTATTTGATGGATGATAAGACAAAATGTTTTAGACTAATAATGCCCAAGTCTTAATGATTCAACAACATTTTGGATACTAAGAATAAAGTTTGTGAATTAAACTGGAAACTTACAAAAAGAATCTAGTCTTAAACCTTTTTGCTTCAATTTAAAAAAAAATTAAAGATATTCGTAAAAGTATGAAGCGTAATTCAAACTGTTAAGAACTACAAAATCTAAAACTACACTAGTTTTCGATAAAATATAGAACTTAACTCACAGTTGAATTGCATCTGCTGAAATAAGTACTGAATGCTAAATACTATTCTAAGTTAGTTTATAATTAAAAGAAACTGTCATTTCTTTTGAAATTTGCTCAAAATTGTATCTAATTCTAATGTATCTTAAAGTACATCCGATTGGAAATAATTCGAATACGAAATGGCTGTATTTTAGACCAAACACTTTGTATATTCAATTAATAATACAAATTCATAAAAAAGGGAATATTGGGAACAATCATGTAAAATTTATGGCGAAAAAAATTCCAGAAAATTTACTTATGCGTGATGTTTATTCGGATAGTCAATTATAAAACGCAAACCACAGCAAAAATTTTCTAAATACTTTTTTAAAAATTATTTCTTTTCATGTTTCTCCATTTTCTACATAGTTTTCATATATGTTTTAACATTTGATAAACGCGTTCCAAAAAATGTGTGTCAGAGTCATAGAAGGCTTCCATGAATGAAGATACCTAGTCTTGAAATGCTTCTCTCAATCTTGATATCTACAGCAAAACACTGGCAGATGGGTAATTCCATAAGGAAGCGGAACTATACTCAGTTACAAATTAAGAAAAAACTATTATCCATTTGGAGAGAGACTGTTTGCTTCAACGTGCATGCCAAATGGATGCCAAGATCTCAGCGTGAACGCATATCAAAACCGCCAACTCTTGAAACGACGTTGCACAACCTTATTTTTGCTTTCTTTCTTAAATCGTGTGAAATGAGGGAAGCAAAACCTATAGAATAATTAATTAACAAGTAAAAAGATTGAATAAAAATGATAGATGAAATTTGTAACATCTGTTTGCATTTAAAGTAACTGATAAAAGAATAATAAGTATTGTTTTTGGGAGGCGATTTTCTTCTACAGAGAAACAAAAGTAAAAATTCTTTATCTCGCATTTGATTTCTAAAGGGCATGTCAGCATAGGACTCGCCTTTTTTAATGATCCAATCAAATCCAGTGTTCTTGCAATATCATATAGTTGTTTCTTTTTCAAGAACGAATGATGTCCTTATTTATTGAAATAGGTCACCAAGTCTAGGATTCCAGTTAGACTACGAAATTATAAACTTTTTTCTTTAATAATTCCATGATATATCTCGTAAAAGATAGCACAAATTAAATAGCACGAATTAAATTTCCGTCTGACGTGTTTAACTTTTAAAAGCTTTAATATTGTTTTGAAAGCAAAATTCTATAATTTGATAACGAAATAAAATGGAACTATATGTAGTCGTGGATGATTACTTATCCTATATCTCAATGGTCTTTACTTAACTTGCAAGGAAGTAATGTTAATATCACTCAGCGTCAAGTCTGAAATCAGCGGATGATGATTAATATGTTTCCATACAAAATATTTCATCAGGTTTTGAGTGTGAATAACAAAATGGATTCTGGCATTGTCATGAAGCAATGAAACTTCATCACATGATCTATTCATAAATTTCCGTTGCTGAAACGTGTGTTGGCATCATAAACTAAGTCACTGATCGCTATTTACAGTCTACGGACCGATCAATAGTGACATTTAGAGCTGACACTGCAACAGTACCAGTGCAAATGACGTCGTTAAACGAGCAAGGCATGCTGGAATCTGGTACACAATCGCGTTTTAATGTTCGCTTGACATTTAATTAACAACTCTGATTCTGAACTTATTTTTTGAATGATGCTGTTTCTGAATGCTCGTTTCTTAGAAGCTTTTAAATGATGATATAATACTTAATAATATTCATGTTGAAATGAGTTAATGGTGTTCATGAAATAATGAATTTATAATGAAGTAAATAATTATATTCCTGATGTAATGTAATCCATTACATCAAGAGCATCATTATTTACCAATCTCTCTTCTGTAAAGTACTCATACGCAAGGATGAAGGGTCATAACAGGCTTCTCGAAGAGCACACAGGAACCACCCCCTTTCCGGCAGTTGCAAAAATTTCAAGTGTTGACTAGCGTTAGTCGGCTAGTTTGCTTAAGTAAAAGCAATTGTTAGGATTTTGGTTATGAGAATGTAAGAAATCTGAATTATCCTCGTAGTTTTAGAACAGCTTCTAAATGATGATATTCACGGTGTAATGAGTTAATGATATAATGAATTTATAATGAAGTAAATAATGATGTTCTTGATGAAATGGATTAATTAGGATTTAGGTTATGAAAATATAATAAATGATGTTTAGCAAATAATGGTAAACGTAATGCAAGAGATATTTAAAACAATGAAATTTGCTTTGTTTTTTCAAACCATGTTGCTACAAATATAAACTATATTATTGTTTTTGACTTTTTATAAACAGATACGTACCAAATTATTTAATATGAAACAATAACTTCTTTTCGCACATCAAATTATAAAAAAAAACGAATTGGAAGAAAATTTACAAAAATAATTCAATGGTCAATTTCATCAATAAAATATTTTTTCAGTTATTCAATAAAAGATTTTTTCCGTCAGTTCTAAACTCAAAACAGGTTTTTCATTAGAAAACAAATTGAGAAAAAGCTAAATATGCACATCTATTAAATGAATAATACTTAAAGAAAAGCATTTGTACTGCTGTTCAAATAGAAAAACTCATATACTTGCAATTTCATAAAATCTTATTAAAGAGAAATCAGAATTATAACTTAGAAAGAAATATCAATAGTATAGAGAGAAAGATTTTCAAACTCTTACGTTTGTTCAATTTTAAACAAAGTTTTTAATCAAGCCTTAAAATTTTACATATCAAAAATGAATTTTTTATGGGAAAAAAAGTATTCGTAAAAAATTGATTGGCTCTAAACGTTACGCAGAATAAGAAAAGAGAAGTATCTTTATCTCTAAGGTTTCATATGGCGGCGTCAAAGTCGTTTATACCAGTGATACGCTAGATTAGAATAAAAATAACTATAACAGATATGAATTAGGTGTCCTTTATTAGACGCAGCTTACTTGTATAAACTTCAATAATAACGATATTTATGTAATCTGGTCAGACTCAAAATCATCAATACTTGATTTTGGCACAAGTAATAGAATTTCTTTTGATATTCAACAAGAACTACAACACACATCAATTCGAATTTCCTGGATTAAAGCACACAGCAATAGAGTAGGTAATGAAAAAGCAGATGATTTAGCTAAACAATCTACGAGACAACCGAAAAATTATGTATACCCACTTCCAGTTTCATATCTTAAACGACGTATTAAAGATTCTCTTCTAACAAAATGGCAATTTCAATGGAATAATTCAGACAGAGGCAGACGTCTATTCAAAATTATTAACAATGCTACTTTTTTCAAAACAATTCCTCCAAAACAAGTCATCTGGTTCTTGACGGGTCATGGACCATTTCCAACCTTCTTTAATTATCTGCATATAACAGATACTGATCTTTGCACCTGCGGCCAACAAGGTTCGCCTGAACATTATCTCACTAGTTGTTCCTACACTGTCTCCTGGCATAGTCGTCAACCTAGCCCAACAGATTTAGAAATTTGGCAGAAAACTTTTATTACAAACAATACTTTAAACAAAAGATTAATAACAGTAAAGAACTTCTTAGCGGATAATGACTATCTATTAAAATTTTAATAACTTCCCATTTCACACGTATTATATTTTTTTTTGTTTTATTTCTTCTTAAATTCCACACTTTCAGTAAAATCTGTTCTTTTTTTTTTAATTTCTAAATTTTTTTCTTTAAATATTATGCTATTTAGGCTGGAGTGGAGCTGGACCATCGGCCAAGTCCTGGGCTATATGGTTAAGGGTTTTCATAACCTAGGTACATGCTCAGGGCTTGGAGGAAAGAAAAAAAAAGCTTACTTGTATAATAATAGTAGTAAAAATAATAATAATAATCGTGATTACCGCGTCGATACTGCGAAGTCTTTTTCTCAATAACTTTCCGATAGTTCAAAGTCTATATTGTGGTATTGTGGAATAGCATTAAACAGACTTTAAATATTTGTATGCATTGATAACTATACACATTTAAACCACTTTTAACACTTTGACGCTGATGAGACAAAGATGTCCTTTTTATCGATATTTTTACTGACGCTCCAATTACAAGATAAAAATATATTTTGGTATTTTTTTATGATAAAAAATAGTTCATAGCTGCAAAAAAATCTGTTAATTTATTGGAATTATATTTGCACTGAAATATAATATCCAGTGAAGGCAGATAGATTTTTTTTTACAAATTAATCTATAATTGTTTGTGTAAATTAAAATCATTTAAGGGATGAATAGCAGTTTCTTTTAGATCCAAATAACTGCAATTAAGTGTTAGTTAAAACATTTAAAACACGGGCACAGCCAGGAATTGAACCCGGGACCTCTCGCACCCGAAGCGAGAATCATACCTCTAGACCACTGTGCCACACGATAGAAAACTTAATTTGAACTTTAATTAAATGGAAAAAAATCATAAAATTAATAAAATGAAGTAATTGCTTAAATATTTACACAACTGTTTTTTTTTTATTCTCAACTCACGCATATGCTTCATTGAGAACGGAAACAATAAATATACGGAACGTATTCTTTAAACCTATATTTAAAGAGTATTTATTTTTGAAACGAATATGAAAGTTCATTAAAAAAATCATGCATAAAAGAGATAATAATTTCATTTTGTGCAAAGATACCCCCATAATAGAGGGACGAGACTCCATCAACTTTCCCTTTCTAAAATCACCATGCGCGTAAGGTTCGATATCATTCAAACTGATGCGCATGTGATGTTTAAAATAATGAACCATAATTACATAAAAAATACTGAAGATCACGATCTTAAATATTATCTTATCTTACGTATGAGTATGATGTTATCCAAGTATTTGTGGGAATAAGCAGTTTTTTCCACGTTAACACCAAATCTTTTCATATTCAATTTAAAGGACGTCATTTAATTCTAAGCATTTAAAATAGAATAAGGATGCACTTAATACTCACAAATTCACATCAAATGAGATTTATTTTCATTTCCGAAAAAACAGATGTTGTCGAGCTTTGAATATCATCTGTAGTCTGTTTACATTTGAATACAAATTGTGGTGATTTATTGGAAATCTTCGATCCTACTATGCACCAACCAAAACAAAAGGATACTGTAAAATATGCGTGTATGTTTTTAGTTATACTTGAATTTACGCCTTCCAATGGGATGAATCGCGTTAGAACCCAGCAATGACTCTTCAATAGGAATTCAGCACCTGTCTCGTACCGGTCACAGTGCTGACGTAAAATATCCTCAGTGGTAAACGTGTCATGGGATAAAGTCCCCTATCCCCCAGGCTAACCGTGGGAGGTTTTCGTGGTTATCTAAAAATTGTGATGGAAACTTCATCATATTTTCTATTTTACGATTATATTTTTTATAATTGAAAAAAAAAACAAGTATTTAACTGCAAAAAAAATGTAAGTAAATACGTACAAACAAACGTTTGGGCAGTGTTAATTGAAAAATTAAGACTGTGCTGAATATTAAACACATGATGAATACAATGAATGGTATATTATCTTCATAACAGACACAATATGTAAACCATCGAAACACGATCTGGAAAAAAGATTATTCCGAAACAAGAGAACGGAAAACCACGTAGAGAAAATTTTCCTACTCCATAATGTGCCATAATCAAAAATTTTCATATCAATGACATTCGGGCACAGCCGGGAATTGAACCCGGGACCTCTCGCACCCGAAGCGAGAATCATACCCCTAGACCACTGTGCCACAGGTTGTCTAATTTACGTTGAAATTCAATTGAGTTTAAAAACAATGCGAGAAAGAGAGATTGTGATTAATAATTTCTTCATTGCTTACGCAACAGTGTTTTTAATCTCAATGACTCGTCTGTGTTGTTTTCAGAAAGATAACGAATGTAGATATACGATAAGTATTTTTTAAATCGCATTTATTTTTAAAACAAATATGAAAATTCATCAATAAAAAATATTTAAATACGAAATTTTTATTTCCTTTTGTAACAAGATATTTAAAAAATTAAGGGATGTGACTAGCTCAACTTTTCCGCGTTGAAACAACCATGCACATATGGTTTTAAATTGTTCAAACTTATCTATATGTTAACTTCAAAAAGATGATGGATATAGATTTACATAGAAAGATTAAAGCCATATTTACATGGATACAATATTTATAAGGGAAGATTAACTGTCACGATCTTGACTATAAATATTTTATAATTAATGCGGTTTTGTTTAGCTTAAATTAAGCTTTTCACTCCAGAAATGCAGTTTTTTTTTTAATTCAGGCTCGAATATATTCCGAAATATACCCTGCCATTTTTTTATTTATTTTTTTGCATTTTTCACTTCTCCGAAATGCGCATCTTTTCCACTTTAGCAAATGTTCCATAAATTCAAAGCTTTGCGATAACGGAAAGTGTTTTAATTTTTTCTTAATTATTCATTAAATATTCATTATCTCAAAATGAACTAAATTTTTCGACTCGGTTAATTGAGATAATAGTGAAATTTTCCTCTTTAAATTCCTTTTTCTTTACAAATTGGGGTGAAAAGTTAAAGAGCATGATTTGATGATCATCAAATAAATGTTTACTTTAGTCCTATAATGCCAATTTATTTCTTCAGTTCCATACAAATCTCGAAAAATTTAGTTGCAATTTTATGAAACTTTAGTTATTCTTTAACATACAACAACTAAGGAGATTATATTTTTCAATATTAAATGGAATTTGAGCTAAATATGGAAAATGTTACTGTTTTTTTTTTTTGCTGCATATCCTTTGAATACCAGTATCGCTAGACGATTTCCAGGCATTATATCAGATTGCTTAGCTGGTTTATAATGATACTTCTGATGAAAGTTTCAGAATTTCCCGAAAGAACTTAGTTTCATTGGAAATAATTTTAGGAAATTCCATTTACTAAATGTCTACCGATTGCATTCTAGAGATGATTATTTGAAATCAAATCCGGTGATTGAGATGGTCATCTCTCAGAATATTATGGTGAAAAAATGTCATGAAGCACTTTACTTCACGTGAACACAAAATTCAGCCTTCATATACAGTACAGAACCCGTTATCCGGAAATCAGAAAACCGGAAAACCTAAAAACCGGAACAAAATTCGATAAATTTTCTCGCCATTTTTAAATTTTTTTTTTCTTTTCCTTGTAAGATTTTACGATTTTTCTTTCTTTTCTTAAAGAGGTTTACCTTACCATCATTTT